CTCCCCACCATTTGACCTTAGAACTGAAGAAGCTTCTCGGATGAGAGGTGAAACGTCTTCAAGTAACTTAAAGAAGTCCAGACGCTTTTCTTTCCAAGCTCCTTTGACTACGATGACCTGGATGACTGAGAACCTTCACAGACATATTTAGTCCGAAGGATGCCGCATCCATGTTTTTCAAAACTAATTTCAAATTTTGATATTTTTGGCCACAAAACAGTCTTTTACTTTGTGTCAGTCCATTCTAAAGAGGTTTGGCCCAAAGAAGAAGGTGGTGGTGGTGTTTATGGATTATGTTCATATATGAATTCCCGTTTGCATGAGCTTTAGAGCTTTAGGCTGTATTTCAATAGCGACAGCTCATTTGGAAGAATTGAACATGATTTACTGAGATACAGAGTTCAGCTACTGGTTTGGCGATTGACCCATCATAGCAGAATCTTAGAGGTGATAGGAATTAGAAGTAGAGTATGGTAGTGGTGAAGATGAAGCTGGAGGTTTGCATGGAGCTCTGAGTGGACAGGCTAGAAGATGAGTGAACTAGAACAACGCTGTCGACACTGAGTTTGGCAGTGTGGAAAGACAAAGTTATATAACAAAGATTAGCAGCCAAACATCCAGGACAGCAGGCAGATGAGTGATCTTATAGAGACAACACATAAGATTCATTTGTGGATAGCATGGCGAACTGTGTTTGCAGACAGTGATATCTGGAAATGTTGCTGAGCCAAAGCAATGATTTCCATGACAAAATCATCCCTGGTTTTAATGCACTGCTGCCCAAAGTTCACAAACACAAACTTTTGGCCTTGTCCCATGCACAGAGAGATTTCACCAGAGTCTCTGAATCATTTAATGATAATGTACTGTAGATAATGAGATAGTTAAAAGTCTTTTGTTTGTCAATTTTACATTGACAAATATTACTTTGAAATTGTTCTGTAATATGTAGATGCACTTTTCTTTACTTCTGAGAAACTCTGCCTCTCTGAAATACTTTATTTTTCCATCAGAGTCATGATACTGACCTAATTAGCTGCATCAGTTTCATCCAGCTCTTTATTTCTCTTTTTTCACATATCTTTTGGCTTTTGTTGACCCCTTACACCTTTTTTAGGTCTGTTTTTGCTGTCATCAAAAACAAAATAAGGTAATGTTTTTCATGAAAAAATTAAAAACATTCAAAAAGGTGCAGGAGGCATTGTAGCAGTCAGGTGCAAGTGAAACTTAATATGCTGAATGAGAAATGTAGTTGAGTAATGAAGTGGTTCTAATACGCCACCTTTGGCGTGTGTGTATGTGCTTCTGTGCTGAGATTATTTGGGGAATGCAAACACAGCACGCAGCCCAGATCTTGTCTGAGGTCATAATGTTTGGTCAGAATAACAAAGCAAACATTCAGATAACGTCAAATTGTAACATGTGGAAGATACAGTGAGAAA